TGTTTTTCAACGAAATGGCTGAAAATAAAATATGTCAGTGTTGTGCCAAACGAGTGCGGAATGTGCCTTTACTCGAGGCGATCTAAGCTTTTATATTTACGCGGATACCTACAGGATTATTCATTTGTCATTAAATATTCGCTTGTCGGATTTCACGACAATTGCGGCCGACGGGTTGTTATTATATGCCTGTCGATCGCTGTGCTCGAAAGTATATGATAATAATTTATTATTAATTTCCAACGATATATTATAGGTATACGGTGGTTTTAATATTATTCTCTTCACACACACGCCCCGCGATGTATAATAATTTGTACGAAAGTCCGCGTATATATAACACTTCATAGTTGATTCTTATATTATTACGTTCTCTCCACGGTCGGGAGACCTTAAACATATTATAATATGTGTAATATAATATCGTCAATATTATGATAATAGCCGACGACGAATGGCGACGAACAATACGCGCTGGTACCTTACAAACAGATTCGTATGATATCCATTATACTCTGTATTATTATTGTTACCTATATTATTGTCCAACACTCGCATTTTATTGTTTTTTTTTTTCGTTCGTTCACTTGCGATTCGTCATGATCCACGACAGACGCAACGATGATATGTTATTAATACTATTATTATTATTATTATTATTATTATTATTACTATTGCAATCTAGTTTAATAAAAACGAATCGGATAAAAGAGAATGTGCAGTGATTTAACGACTGCGAGCTGCCGATGACCGGCGGGTGGAAGCGATAGCGCACACTGATTTTTTTCTCGTCTTCTTCACACGCCGCGCGTTTATGTTAATTCGACAAGTTTTCGAGTCAAATGCGAGGGATTCCAAGGTCGCGCCGACGCGGGCCGATGTACCGATGATCAATATTACGTATAATATTATAATATATTATTATTTATTTATTGTACACCACGTGTAGTAGGTATACCACACGTTATTGAAATGGGTACCTATCTAATTAAATCATCATTCAAATAATTTATATTATATTCGAAAACACACTGGAGTGTGAGTCTAAAAATATTCATGCAATGTGATAAAAAAATAAACTAAAAGACTGTCTACTGTCTAGTTATTTGTTGTGTATATCATATTATAATAATATTATATACTCGTTGTACGTGGTACATTTTTTGTTATTCCTTAAATTTTGCTCAATACACATACGTAGTATTATTACAATACTATTTAATGATTTAATATAAATATTTGCGATTAGCTATACGTCTGTGATTATAATGTATAACTTTAAAAGGAATCCGGACCCGAAAATAATTCAGGGGATATTATGCCTTTGGTAACGAGTGATGATACATTTGAGAGATAAATGTGAAATGGCTCCGAGTTGGGTAAACATATACATTATACACAGCTGGTGTTGTGTAGCTATATATACTTTATTGTTTACGGTCGTCGGTGACATATTATAATGGCGTATATTTTGTATTTAATATAATATGGTCATTAATGTAGTCCCACGTTGTGGCAATAATAATATATTGTTCCGGAATAACCATTTTCGTCGTTTGAGGTTTTTTTTTGCTTTGCGAAATCGATTTAGACAATTTTCGAGTAGCACCACCTCCGATAGACGGTTGTCTTTTTTCCAGCAATTTACTTTAAGTTATAACAATTTTACACAATTCATATCGCCACCTAAGCTAAGACTTAATAATTCTTCGTTTTCTTGATGCAACGTTTTTTGATAATTTTGCTCATCTTACGAATTATATTGAAAAATAGCTATTCGTCCTACAATGATGATTTTTTTTCTCATTTGGGTCAATTAAAAAAGGTACTGCATGTTTGTTCCATTTATTGTAAGGGTAGTAGATACTGTCGTATTGACTTATTTGACAAAGAGGTCACTTTCCTAATTTTCGAAAAAAATCGCTTATAGACTGCAAAAAATGTAGGCATACAACTACTTGTTTTTAACGAACCTCATTGTTATTAAGAAAATAATATATATTCTACTGAAATATTAATAATATACATAATTCTCGTATAATCGTTATTCCATCGACTTCAGCCCTGCTGTTTAACTTTAGATGTCACTGATATCTCTTCTAGACTCTAAATTTGCACAATATCTACACAGTTTTAACCTCGAGTGCAGTGTGGCAGTACTCTGAAACCGCGAAGGGATTGCAAAATGTTCTCGCATGCACTAGCTCCCGTTCCTAATTCCGAGGTTTTTTTTTAAGAGCGTCGTGATCGGCGATTGCACTACTCCTGTCCGCATAATATTTATGTATAATACAATGTATATGAAAACTATTTAATATATTATACCCTACACCTTTATAGCTGTACATTAAAGTCTAATATAAGGACAGGCAAAAGAGGAGAAGCGAAACTTATCCATCCGGAAATGTTATCGATATTCGTTTCTCGTTTTACTCCTACATATTCAATAATCTCAATACATATGCATACAAGTATACTATTATAGTTTATTCAATATCATAATATTAAATATCGACACAGTGCGCGAACAACATACTAGGTTAGGTCAAGACTTCAAGTGCACAGGTACACTGTAAATCGAATGTAAAAAGTTGTTTTCTCAAACTTATAATAATACATAATATAAAAGTATTATTTCCCCTCCAACATCGAAGAAGCACTCGGGGAAACCAACACCGATGCCATCTTCAACTTTTTTAATGCCATCAAAGTATCCAACCTATTATAAAAATTTGCAAATACTACTGTTTTACCTATTTATTTAACATTACTATTTTATTTTATTTATCTACTTATTTTGTTTAATTCTCATGTTACTATGTACATAAGACTTTTTCAATATTTCTAATCTTTAATCTACCATTGTAAACCTTTTCAGGCTAATGACCTCTGATGTCGAAGCCTTATTCTTAATAAAAAAAAAAAAAAAGTATTATTATACGTATATTATTATATTGTGTTTCACGACGAAATACTCGTATTATAGTATGTACAATTTTAATATATCGTATTTATCGTCTCTATTTTACCATAGTCCATAATAATTTGTACTCACTGATGTATTTTAATGTGCAATATTATTTCACGATCGTAAGCGATTTAGGTATTGGTATCATTCACTTACCTGGCATTTATAACTCGGGATATATAAGATACTATAACTTGGAAATTGAAACTATTGAATCACCTCGTCGCAAACTAAGAATAATTTAATTTTAAGTTTATTGTGTTCACAAATTACGTATACTTACAGAAAAATTGAGCTGACGTACACATCCACATAATGTATGTAGATTATAATATATTATATCGAAAACAAAGTGATACAATAACTTGTCCGTTTATACATGAACAATGAGCACTCAGGTCTAAGTCAATCGGTATATTTTAACGAGATTGTAACGGAGACACAAAATGTCTTTGATGGAAAGAATAATGTGTATAAAGCGTAGTATATAATATTATAATTGCAGTACCTATCGTTAAACGTATTTTATACTTCAGAAAAAAAAGCAGGGCCTACGAAATATATTATCAATATTTTTTTATTAATAACCAGAGTATACTCAATATATCAGTTATAAATTATAATGAAACATTTTATTTTTAATTGTGATGCATACAACGTCACGGCATACATAACGCGGAACTTTCTAACTTTTAATTATGTAGCATTCATATTTTTAACTCGAGCCATTAAAAAGTTATGTCATATTAATTCGTATTTATTACTGCTCGCCTCGTGTCTTTGATAATTTATAAAAATCATACATTATGATGTTTATAATTCTATACCTATATAATAGAGAAAAAATTTCTGTTATACAGCAATCATAACTATGAAAAATTGAAATCTAAACGATGAAATTAGCATAGTTCTAGTAACGTAACGGTAATATTTTTGTGTCAGTACCTATATAATGACTTCCAAAGAGCGTATTGTCAAATAATAAAAAGAAAAAAATAGCGAGGTTTGTCATTTTTTGTGTTTTTTTTGCATTATTCACACTCGTAACATCCGCACGTAGAGACAGTTGAAACTATATACGCTTTAAAAAGTATATTATGTACAAGGCACTTGCGATTGGTTTGGGCTGTATATGTGTGTAGGTAGACGAAGAGTAATAACAGGTAAAGAGCACACACTCACACACTGCACCATTAAAGATGGGTCTGTGCGATGATATTGTATATTTTCATCAAATGAATACTTACGGCAAGTATAGCACACGATCTCTCGTTGCTTCAGGGTAGGCGAAACGAAATGATTGTTTTCCGGCTAATGACAATACTTACGGTTAAACTCATAATAAATACATATATATTATTATATAATATACCTATATAAGAGCAATGAGTAATTTAAGCGCATTAATAAAAAATAAATAAAAAAAAAACGTATAATCATAGCAATTTAAAATTTAAAATCCAAGGATATACGTCTGTTTGCGAGAAAGGTATATATAATATAAAATATATAATATACACGACGATTTGTGACTCTACCCATATAGATTGGGTACCCTTGCGCAAATCATATATATATATATAGTATATACATAAGCCGCGTTATACACCAATATCAAGTACCTACACCTATAATACTCGTACATGTATATACATATAATATTATATATGCACACTAGACAGAGATGCGATTAAGTTATTACTCATTATAGTTCGTCGGGATGGGAATGCATTTTTTTCTTCTTATTTTCGACACATTAAAATAATATCCTCTTCGTATTATAAATGGAAAACCGGTCGTCGGTGAACGGCGCTGGTGCTAAATACAAATTAAAAAAAAAACCCGCGTGTTGGTGGCTGCGAAAAAAAAATAAAAAAAAATTGTGGGATTGTCCAAGGACTTTGGTTTTTAGGAATTTTCGCCCAGAAAACTTACGATGCGGCGGCGGCAGCGGTGGCGGCGGGGAGACGAACCGCCGCGCGCCGCCGAGCGGGTCCTCGAACCAGTCCGGCGAACGCTCGCGCGCCACAGTCGCCGCCGCACGCATCACACCAGCTCGTTGCGAACCGATACGACAGTCGTCCGGAAAGCACACACGCCGTCAGACGTCTCTTGATGATAGTAGAAACAAACAAATTGTAACATAATAATAAAATTGTACGCGATCGCGTGAAAACCGGCGGCCACATAATAACTGTTGTTGTAACATCGCGATAGGAGGAGGAGGAGGAGGAATAATTACATTATTTCAGCATTAATATACAGAGTGGACACTTGACGGACACTGACGACGCCGGAAGACGATGTGCGTGAACACAGTTGAACTATTGTAGGAAGTGATCGATGTTATAACGATAATATCCCAACGCTCGGTATATGGAACCCGGAGTATCGGGCCACCGAAGACATTCCAAAACGTTTCATTTGGCGGACATGAGCGGTTGAACTTGGACACTTTTACATAGTCACAAACACGCGCACACCTCCGGCGCGAATAAAACACGTCTGCAAGAGGAGCAGCGATAGCCGACTTCTCCGCACGAACTCGCTACAGGTAAAAATCGTACCTATGAACCTATTTCTTAACGTACCTTTTTATGTTTACACCCCGCGAGACAACATATTTTTACACGACAGTTTTAATATCTTATCGTATTGCTGTTAAGTTTTCCCAATGGATTCCTAATTTCCTAACCATTTCAATCCGAACATGACGTCTCCTAATATTGTTATTCCCGACAACTATGCCCCCACTCAGGGCCGTATTACCGCTTAGGCTGTGTAGGCTAAAGCCTAGGGCGGCAAATTTTAAAGGGTGGCACATTTTTTTTTGGTGTGACCCAAAAACTACGTTGAGATATTAGTAAAATATCAATACCTATGTCAATTAGGCGGTAAATTTATTTCAGCCTATGGGCGGCAAAAACCTTAATCCGGCCCTGCCCCCACTGCCGACTCGAGCGCGACTCGAATCATCGCGATTTATTCAAATTAATTAACAACAACGACTGCAACGACGTTGAGTGAAGTATTATCAGTTACTTAATGCGTGATTTCCACCTCATGTTCGCTCTTGTCATCGTTACCTCCCATTATAATAGTGCAATCATTTATTCTATTTGTATACTTATAATATTGTGTACAGATCGTTGTATAATATGTTACATTCGACTATACATTGGCCGGTACAAACGTATAATATGGTATATTACAAGCGTCTCCAAACAGTCCAAACTGTAGTGAAAATAATATTTTATATTATGTATCATGTGGGGTTACTGCCTAAAATAGATTATACTATTTTTTACGGGAAAACTATACCGATTTGTTCAAAATATTGAAATGCCCTGTCGAAAAACTCGTTCACCGGTGAAAATACTACAACACTTTATTTTATCCCATGGGTCCCTGGTCTGTAGTTAGACTTTTTCCACCCTGAACTACAAACATTTAACACTCATCTCCCCTCTGCCAGTTTTGTTTTTTTATGTGTTGAACAGAAATAAAAAATGAACAAAACTGTTGATTTTTACTTTCAATTAAAAAAAAAAAATACAACTTTTTATTTTGTCGAATTTTTTTATTGGGTTAAAGAATGAAATTTGACGCGCCAGTTACGATTAGCCACCCTTTTAAAATTGAGGCTATGGGATCGTAGGATCGTTGGCCCATTTGAATTCTGTACTGATATTTATATATAAGGTACATCTTTTCGTTTGTTTCCATGAGTCGAAAACGATTACACTGCTATTATAATTTTAGATAAAAAAAATCATCCTTTGTAAATGAATTACCTAGTTTTAGAATATTAACGCTCGCACAGTTCGAGTCATTGCATTCTACATACCTACATAGTACATATAATTTATACGATGCGAGCACCGCATGGTATAGCTAATAATACGCTTTGATGTGTGTGAAAATGACCGAAATTCAAATGAAATACATAATAATATACGTTGTACCGTGCAGTTTTCGATATAATGTTATATTCGGCGTTTGACTGAGCCCAATCTAGAAGCAGAGAAAGTTTCAGGTCCAGAAAGTTTCACTCTTCGAAACTTTGACAAGCGTTAAAAATAAAACGACCGAGACATTTATTCCGTCCAACCCGCCGCCGGGGACACGAGTTTTATTTATATTTTCTTCATACAGGTGTATCGTTTATATAATATTATCATTGATTTTCAAAAAAAAAACCCGTGATCGATGACCGCAATTCAACGAACACGTTTGCATTACAAGACGTTTTTTTCAAAAAGATTCTTACATTATTTCCTTAGCTATATTATAATGGGATCCAGGAAATATTCAGTAAAAACGTGTCAGCTGCGACTGTAAACGTCGTCACCTGTCACCATGGGAAAAATGATTTTCACGTTAGTTCAACTTTTCTGAAAACCACGTCTAATCGTCATCGTTATTTCGAAGGATATCCACGCACCGGATGCACCTCAATAGCTAGTCGATTAGGCTCTAGAACAATAAGAAACAGTTTTTACCAAAACTATAGATTACAGCAGTTTTGTTTACCCATATTATAATAACAAAGCGTACTAAAATTTTACCAAATTTCAAATTTCCCACACCATTACCAATACGCATTTTTTACATACAATACTCTGACAAATGAAATCTATCTTTAAAACTAATAACTTTCAAAGTATATGACATTATGATGTTTTATAACCAAAACATCCTCAAAAACTTCATTATCTATTGAGTATACACTTAAGTCCTAACATCAGACATCGTATTTATATTTCAAAGCTATTAATAACATATCTTCAGATCATGTTCAATGTTTTAAAATGATGATCAATTGGTAACCTTCAATTAATGTAATATAACCGGTTAAATGTGGTCGATTGGTTCGGTGAACATGTATTACTTAATTAGTATTTATTTTATTACATAAATTAAAATATGAACATCAATTATTATTATTTATTTTTTACTAACTTATTTTTACATTATTTTGAGCTTTTTACATATTATTAAGTATTAGGTAATATATTAACTATAATGAAATTCTACAATTTATTCCTACAATGCTTATTTTGAATATTTTATATAGTTGTGAACTTTTTCATAATATATTATAATTAATATCAAAAGCTCAAAACTTTAAATATTCATATACCTCTATTATCAATAATAACTTATTATACTCATTATAGGTGTTAATTGTTATATAATATAAACAGCTAGTCATTAATTCTATTAAATATTCCACTTTTTATCTGCATATATAAAATTAAGTTATAAAAATCCTACCATTTAAGTTCGATAAACTTAAAATATCAAATTTTTATTTACGAAAACAATGTTAGAACATTAGTTAGTCAATTAATTTTAAAATATTTGTTTACCTCTATCTAGACTTACTGAATACCTATATATATATATGTATATGTATTATGTAAAACATATTTTTCTTTCAATTCAAATTTAAGAGGACGTAACACTAGTATTTGTTGTCTCCGTCTTTCCAGTGCGTAATATAGCAAAATTACGCTCGACAGAACACTTGTAGCTCCTTAGTTTAAAAATTAGAGTGAATCGGCCTATTATGAAATTTGATGGTAAGAACATTATCTGTGTTTGTACGTTGGTTTTTTACGATAATTCAATTTTTAAGTGAGTTATGAATATTTTTAATTTACTATATATTATATGCATATAACTTGCTAAAAAATTGAATTATCGTATAAAAAAACCAACGTACAAACAGAGATGATGTTCTTACCATCAAGTTCCAAAATAGGGCAATTCACTCTAATTTTTAAACTAAAGGAGCTACAAGTATTTTGCTGAGCTTATTTGCTATATTACGCACTGGTATGGTATGACGGAGACAACAAATACCAGTATTACGTCCTCTTAATAAGTAATCATAACCAATAACACCCCGAATTTTGTACATATAGGCATCTACGACACAACTTAAGAAATTAAAAACACCTATACTTAAAATGTACTGTCATCAGGTGATTGAGTAGTATAAAATACATTTATTGAGTATAGTATATAATATAATGATACTTTTGTTTAAAATTAAATACATACTTCCCAAAAAAATGATTGATTTATCATGATGTGTATGGTGACATTGTAATAATATGCGTAACGTAGTCAGCTGTATGTATATATTATACAGTTAAATTATGAAGAAAGTTTTAAAACTCTTTTCTTTGGACTCAAGTGTAGCTATTGTCTAAAAATAATTTTTAAATATTAAAGTTAACGTCCTTATATTTGATGTGACAACATTGCATAACATTAAATATGTAACGAAAACCGTGGAAATAATTGTGCGTAATTTTGCTGAATTTGCAGATAATAATATGGCAGCTTTTCAATGGATAATAGCCTTAACGGTGTTCCAACTGCTGACAAGCAGTTTTTGTCTGGAAAATGGCTTAGCCAGGACACCTCCGATGGGATGGTTGGCGTGGGAGAGATTTAGATGCAATACTGATTGCAAAAACGATCCTGACAACTGTATAAGGTAATAATAATAGTTATTACATAATATTAATAAATGAAAACTTTATAATACACTATTTAGATTTTAAAAAACACAAATAGTTTGTGGTTTGTCTATAGACCAAACCGTGTACTGTAAACACTTAAGACGCGTACTCATTTAATAACGGATTATGATAATTTTTGCTGGTGGTCAATAGGATCAACTATATTATTGTATAATATTTTGAACAAAATATATAAATATTAGACGTATATCAGGAAATTCATTTTCATTACTTAAACAGAGTTAAATCTTGTTCGAAGAACTATTACAATTGTTTTTATAAATTGAATGTCTATTTATATTATATAATTTATTGTATACATAATTCATAGTATATATACTCAATAGTTAATACTTATACAAAATGTAATTGAACATTACGTTCCAAGATCGAGGTAAATAGGCAATCTAATTGTTTTCAATGTAGCTGCGTGTTTAGTTATCATTTATTGTGATATTATCTTTAGCTTTTTTTCCCTAAAATTTCTTTTTTCGGGTTTGACAACACGATAATTTTTGATACTTTCCAAACGGAAATTTCTCATTAGAAACCAATGCAGTATTTATTGCGGTGATCTATAGTCAACTATAGTCGGAAACAAACCACGAAATCAACGAGAGGTGACATTTATATAATACTACGCACGTCAAATGCCGACCACAAATTATTAGTCATTATATTATGCACAATTTTACGTAAACGATAATAGAGCTGGTGGCGGCTCCTGTCTACTGCAGACTGCTGCAGTAGCCGAAAACACCTATACATCACATCAAAATACTCCATGCGCAACCTCGTCAAATTGTAAACTAGTTAAAAATCATACGCAACTAAAGTCAAGGGCATATAGTGTGCATATATCGTACCTATACTGCAGTTATTATATCCGAGTGCGAGGATGAACCAAGTACAAATAATGTATCAAGTACAAGAGCACATCATAAAACAATGCGTTCATGACATCCGTCCTCGGAAACTAGGCGAAAACTGCTAATTTATAATTATGGGTTGAAGATAATTTAAAATAATTAGTCGAAATCGCGTTTTTGGACATCATATTATATCCTCGTGGTCCGCGGCTTGGAGGCTAAACATTTTATAATGCACTCGACTCCACAATCATGCCCCCGAAACTCGAAACTCTATAGTCCAGCCTGTATGCAGCAGTTTAAGTATTATACAGGTATTATCTATGGATACATTGTATACAACCTACCTACCTATACAGGTATAATAATTGAGAATAAAAGATGTCGTTTGTTTTTTTTGCTGTAATGATTAGCCTAGATTTTGTCATCAGATTTTTTTTTCTCATCCACCGAATTTGTCAAGGTACGCAAATCGTCGTGTAACGATTACTGTCGAAGGAAACAATCGCGATCTGCTAAATGTTACGCAACGCACCGATACCGAGAGGCTGCAATAAATATATATGTATTATATTATGTACACGATATAAACAGGGAATCGATTGTTCTGCCGTACGATCTGGCCCAGAAAACTGGTATTGCAGCTGTGCACCTACCTACAATATATCCCTCCTGTAGCTTACCGATAGCGAAAATATCTATAATTATTTATGGGTATCTTTGCAGCGTTCGTATACGTAACAAATAATAATAACACATCGACCTGTTCGACGTCACGATTTTGAGTAAAAAAAAACAGATCACGACAAAAACGTGCGTGGGTTGGTGTGTTTGCTATATATAGATTTATGTATACTGTAATATTGGACACGATAGGTATGTATATGCACTATGTACGTTCTATATAGTTCGCCCCCTTAAAACCGTTCCGTTTATATGGATATATAGGTGCCTACACCATTTTACACAAATAATGGCGAGTTTAGAGGTAACACTTGTGGACGTGAGCAGAAAGCGACATGGGTACTACTTGGAGCCGTTACACGGTACATAATTATGGTTCGACTTAAACATGAAAAAAGTCAACGGTCATTGATGAGTTTTAAAAAATAAAAGTATTTCAGCCACTCAATGGAGCCAAGAAGGGCTCTCGATATCCGGAGATGGCCGCATTTTCAAAGAGGTGTATGATTTCCGTGCACAATAAGTTGTCATAATTACAACTCATAATTTTTGTTTCATTTATTTTTGAGGGCATTTATTCTAAGGGGCACACGACTAGGGATGGACCGCTGCAATAGTGGACAGGTTGTGATAATTTTTTTCACGCTACTATATATAATAAATCAAAAATCACAACGACCGAAGCCTCAGTTAATTATCTAAAGGTATACTTAAACGCTTGCCATTTTCGATGGCCTCGACAGCAAAATTCGGTTCATAACAAACATAATATTATAATATTATAATATTATGTTACCTATATGGTTATGTATTCCTGTATATAGCATGGCCGCCAATATTACGATATGATACAGTCGGGAGAACTCTTTGATTTGGGATATATAGTCTTCGTTTTTTTTTGTTTTGTTTCAATTTTACGTTTAGGTTTTACGCATGTTCCGCCGTAATGATCATTTTGGACGAGAACGTATCTTCGATCGGAATTAGGCGAAAAAAAAAACAAATACATATATACCTAGTACACAAGTATTACAGTCACGATTCGGTACCACACGCCGCGGCCGGTTGAACTCTATTCCTGCAGCATTCGAAGAAAACCAAGTTTTTGTTGTTGATGTTTTTTTTTTTTGCTGACACGAAAAGGGCATCGAAAGAACTCACCGTGGCGGGCTATTATGTCGCACTTATAATCGCGTTGTAGGGCCAAACTCAGACCTTGAACCGAACTGGATAAATGTATAACATAGAAGTCATACACAAACTAGTGTTCGTATTCATCTTTTATAAAATTATCATAACAACAACAACAACAACGCTCGTGTGTCCTCCTTATATCGATTATTGTTACAGTGACAGGAAAATGGTATGCGCGCACATTATTGAAATTGTTATTATCACTATAGCGTTTTTTGTGGATTCTAGGTCGCTATACGAGCTAGATTAATTTTGAATAATATCGAATAGCGACAAACACTCGCACTTGCCACCTTGCATTGACGAAGAAAATACGTTTATCAAAAATAACGATATTATTAAAATTATTGTACTGTATTTTCGAATGTACTTATGGTAGGTAGTCATCACTCGGATCGTGCAATGAAAAAAGTTTCTCCTTGTCTTGATATTGTTCGCCAAATTATTATTTAAAATGTTGTTGTACAAACTTCTCTGTCCAAGTATACACAATGTTTATTTATTATTGTTAATTTACGCCAATATTTTGTTCTTTGCCGTATTCGAAACCGTCTATTAACTACTATTTTTACGAAATTGAATTTTGTTTCGTGGACGCACTATTAACGCAAGCTTAATAAATAATCCGGTTAATTTCAACTCTGACATTTTGAATTGATCTAATAGTATATACGATGGAATTTCTGCAAACTTGGCGAACAGAAAAAGGTCAAACGGAAGTAATTCGAAATAAATTACGAATAATCAATCTCGACCGTGCTTTATATATATATATAATCTATGTGGTACATTACTGTCTTATGGTAACCAAATTACCACTCCAGCGCAAAACTGGTGACGGATTATTAATTATATTTATTATTTGTAGTACATAATCTTGTGGGACGAATTTAGTGCAAATAACGCCATTAAACTCAATCAAGTCCCTCGGTCGGAACGTAAAGATACCTATAAAATAGAGTATATATATAGTATAAACCTATTCGGTTTGCTATTTGGTTGATTGAGTGTTGAAACTTTAAACGTCATGTGGCTCAAGTCGTTATCTATAGAGTCAAATTATGAGACTGTGAACTCCAACAAATTATGAATCAATTTCATCAAGACGACTGAGAACAACGTGTTATTATTATGCATATTGTATACAATAGTAAGGTTGTCCGCGTAATTATATATATTATGTAGGTAAACAGTAGAATTATGATAAACTATTCATTGTCTATATTAAAATATATTATATTGTACGTATATATTACGCGTCGTTGCCGATATAATTAATACTCGCCTAGAGAATAATCTTATTAAAGAATCTATAATATGTTTACATGTTTAAAAGTTAATTCGTTCAATAATTACTCGGAGGCAATTACGCATAGAGCTCGTCAAGTTCGTGTGCACAGAATGTATCCAAAAATTACAAAAACCTTGACCACTGCAGAAATGATATTATAATGAATTTTCTGAAAAATTTAAACTCGCCTGCAACTTGCAAGTGCATACTATACCGAAAAGAGTTTTTCACGACAAAATACGAGTACTGCAATGAGTGTGAAAGACTTGAAGTACAAAAAGTATTACCTACTGTTCATTGCAATCGCGTGCCTTTATAATATTATTGTATTTTTCTAATATTGTCACAATCAAATATAACAATAATGATTCGTATATAGTCACACGTCATAATATTATTATTGTCATTGTCTGTTTTGTGTTATGTATACAGCGAGAAACTCTTTAGGACCATGACAGACCTTGTGATATCCGAAGGGTACGCTGCTGCCGGTTACGAGTACATAAACGTGGACGACTGTTGGTTGGACTTTGCAAGGTCGTACGATGGTAGACTACAGCCCGATGCCAAACGGTTCCCCAGAGGAATGGCTGACCTATCCGCATACGTGAGTACTTCTACCTATGTACTTCTTATTCTATTAAACAGCGATAATTTACTGTATTAAATAAATGTAATAAAGGTTTTTCTATAATAATATGTACGCCTACAAATCAAGATTATGAGAGTGTACCTATTACCTATATAAAAGTAAAAATATTATATTATTAGATATTAATATTATAATGTAATAAACGTTATAAATCATAAGTTATATATCTAAAGTTCAATAGCTCACCGCATTCATTATTTTTAAAAACCATAATTATAATAATTACAATTATTGTACTGTACAGCCGTACAGGTACTGTAATAGGTACTATACTATTATAAATTGTACATGAGTCATATTATTGTAGATATAAATAATTTATTTAGTATAAAAATAATGTGAGATTCAATATTAAAACGTCATAACTTGCAAGTATAAAATGGCATAAATGCATAATATTACATTGTGTCATCTTATTCGGTTGAAAACTAAAACGATCAAATTTAACGGTTTCAGTAAAACATAATGTCCGTACAGTGTTATTAGGATTTAGATTACGATAATATACTGGTTTATATTTTTTTCAATCTTCAAAAATATTGCACTCTGTACAACGCGAATAGCTTCTGAGTGTTCTGGCGATTATTTTAATAACTAATAAGTAACGAGTACAAGAATAATACGTTCTTATTATTATTAATTATGATTCTTTTAATGGCTCCATCGCTTTTCTTAATTATACCACTTTAATAAAAACGTGTTTAACGGTTGACGTGTAAGAAAAGAATTATTCTGCGGGTGATTTCAATAATATTATCTAATTTATAAATTATGTGTATACATTAACATTATTATAGAATATTGTCTTGCATAATATTTGGAACGTTAATGCACGAATAGGATAAGCCAGAGAAGTAAAAAATTCCATTAAATTAATTGTGTTTCTCAATTTCCAAGTTGAATTATTAATAATATAACACCGATTTACGTAGCTCACGTTCACCCATTTTCTATCAATTAATTGAGTTCTGTGTGTGTATTATTTTTGTATGTGTAACTTCTCTAGCCGATGCTATTTTATCTAGTGCAGTAATAATTACCAACCAATAACCATGATGTGTTTATACGTATAATATATATAATATTTATGTTATAAGACAATGGGGAATGTCAATTTTCAACCAAAAAAATAATGAAAAATTATTAACAATAAGAAACAAAAAAAATGATTTTAACCAGGGCGTGACAATGATACGACTAATTTAAAAAAAAACTGTTACGACGACAGGACGTGTGATGTGCGTTGGTAGGTACATCTTATTCGAAATATTTATGCAATCTTTTTAACGATTAATGCCAACAATTTGTGTCAGTCTTGTACTATATAATATTATACTACAATATACATTATATTAATAACATCTCAGACATTATGATTATCACTTATCTTTATAATATAATATATATATATTATATACAGTAATAGTGACTACTAAATCTAACATTTAACCGATGAACTTCGAGGCACGTATATTAATTATCATTACATTTCCAGTAATTATTGAATGTTGTGTAAACTAAAAAACAGCAGTAATCACAATTTTTCGTTCATATAACACGGTCGTTGCAGTAATCTTTTAACTCACCGCGTTGCTCAACGGTCATTATATTAATCATAATACTTAAAAGTAATAACAATAACAATAATAATAATAATAGTAACGACGGCAGGTGCAGCAGTAAGTAGTAACAGTGCTGAACCACATTCACGACTCGAGCACGACGCGTTAAGAGGTAAAATTTAAGTGATACAAAATATGAGCACAGCCACACACTCGGTCACACATGTATAATATTATAATAATATTATACGATAAATAAATTATGTTTAGGTATGCCACTTTTGACTTATATAATAACTGTGCAGCGGACTGGCGACGGCCATATGGCATGTACCCATGTGTTAGGTATAGCGTATAGAGCAGCGGTTCTCAACCTTTTTTTTTTCCATGTACCAATTAAGTATATTATCAATCAGTCGCGTACCACTGATGATTAAATGTAGAAAGATACAAACTTTACATAGTTAAATACATTTATTTTAAATAAAAATGCAGTAAAATACTACAATATAATTATTATTTATTTATTAATACAAATGTATTAGTGTTTAAAAATTAAGGTATGAATTAAATAACAAATTTTCAATGAGAACCATGGATTTGTAGATTTGATATTAGCAATGAAGTATCTGGTTCAGTGTCACCGAAGGCCTTCCGTGTACCAACATGTAGTCTTTCGCGTACCACAGTTTAAGGACCGCTGGTTTAGAGCATTGTAGGCAATGTTTATTGAAAAAAAAACAAAAACACAATAATATTATTTTTAATTAAAAAACGTGGAATTAATTTTATTCCATTGCAATTGATAATATAGTCGGGACGAGACCTCTAGATCAGTGGTTCCCAAACTTCCTCAGCCTCAGAGCCTTTTTTAAGTAGAAGTTTCTCTTGGAGCCCCCAAGAAATATTTTACGTTAATTTTTATCTGCCTGTGTTCTATGAAGCATAATAAACACAAATTGTATACATAATATGGGAGTCAAAATAAAATGATATTTAAGTATGAATAGGTTTCGTAGTATCTAGAGTCTAGACTGTCTTGCTTCGTTCTCTTAAATTTTATTTTATGTGATATTATTATCTGTATTCGACGTCGTCTCGTAACGCGCTGACAGAGACATTGGTTCAAAACAAATTTTAAAATAACCTGCAGTATAAAATGTCATAGTTTTGTATGTTTTACTTGATCGTCACTGCACATGCCTCCGTTTTTGTTTCAGTAACAAAAATCCGATATTATCACCCTATTTATAATATTATTATGTGCAACACTCGAACTTCATCGAACGCTTTTATTATTATTATCATTATTATTATCATATGAGTTCAATATTAATAATGGTCTTCTGCATAATGTATAAATATTATAGAGAATTACATTCGTGGCAGAAAAGCGGTTTGCGCGTGCTCGTAAATCTTTAAATTCCTACACAAGACGTGCCCAACTATGTTATTATAGTATTATACGTCTTACGCTAATTATTATTGATGAATAATGATCGTGAACTTTAATTTTTTGTATTCCATTTCGTTGCACGAGTGTAATGCAATACCTAATAATTGTATTCACACCGAGTCTGGCACTCTGGGGTTGGGGGGGGGGAGGTGGTTCGTCTCAGCTGCGTCTTCTGACAGCACTTATAATATTGTCACCGAATTTTGAGCAAATAAAATATTTAAAAATCAACACTAAAACTTTTTGGATTTTAATCACTTTTCAAAACATCAACTTGCGAAACCCAATCTTCTCATCTCTGTATATATATATAATATATATGCTTTGCGAGTGTAACTTTTAAAACGTTTTTGGCCGCAAACCTCTTAAAATTTGACGAACTCAACACAGTTCCTTTACATTCATACCTAATACATTACCTATCTGGCTGATGGTTATCTACGATGTAGTAACTATTCAATCGTATCTTTATGACTTTATGTACGTAGTATCGACTTTCAACTTTTGTAATTATATGGCATTCAATTGTAAAATAATAGCAATAATAGTTAGTACTATGTAATGACTAACGATTGATCTCTTATTGAATAATTATTAATAGTATATCTAATAAACACTTAAACGCTTTCCAAACTGGGTTACTAAACTAATGATGGTTATTTGTTTTTTTTTTTTCATCGGATAACCACTTTTAAGAGTTTAAGACTCATTATGTACCATATTGTACCATCTACAATAATTTGTAACTACCCAATCGTATCCATATACGTAGTATAGACTTTCGACTTTTATATATATTTACATGGCATTACATTTTTTATCGAATACATTTATCAAATGTTATTGCTCAGTGTTTAATATTATAACGGAATCCCTGTGTATATTTTAATTATATTATTATACTTCAATGGTTTTGAGCTTAGATATAGTATACTATAGTATATGATCTAAGGTTTCGATGCTCATCATGCAGACGTTGCGTACTTGCGTAGGTTTATCTCGTCCGTTGTTTATAAATGCGCAATAGTGATAATAATAATATAAATAATCATTAGTAAATATATTATTATATACCGACTGTTATGAAAAACATTGACTCGTTAAAATCAACGTGCATTCTTATGATAATTACACAGAATATAGATAGAAGATAAAGACAATAATTTAACACTTAAATTATTTCATGGGGTCATCTGGGTCAACAGGTGTATATAAATATAGGTACATGGTGCGTTAAACTAAATATGTTAAACTCTTAACAATGGTTATCCGTTAGAAAAAAAAACAAATTATCATCGCATGTTTAGTAACTCAGTTTGGAAAGTGTTTATTCGATGGGTATACTATTAATTATTTAATATGAGATCAATCATTACATAGTATTATTATGGTAATTATTTTAATTTTAGTTATTCAATACCTATTGTATACGTGTATAATGATGAATATAATTATTGACGGCGCGATTCGCAAGTAAATTACGATTTCAAAATTACTAATAACTAAATCTACGGACTACGATGTCCGATAACTAGGTAGAGTAGTTATATTATACGAGTATATATATATATCAAAGTGAACCTAAATTTAATTTCTTAACCTCTTGATTTCCAAAACTAATTCTCCATAGTAATTACACTCTTTCTTGCATCAAAATCTAGACTGTATTATAATAAGTGACGATGCCCGCAATAGCAAAAATAGTAATGTTTTATGTCGCTGTGAAAGTCTTTGTTACACTAAATATTAAAAAATCAAAATAACACAACTCAACTCAGCTCATTTGTCACTGCACTCCACACTATAGTTGTTATATTATACAATAATACAATAATAAATATTGTTATGATATTCATTTGGTGTTATACTTACGTCTTACACGCATAATCTATTATTTTGTTTATTGGGTTTTAGGCGCAGTATAATTTGTGTGATTACTCTACGCTAATGCCTGCCATCGGTATAGCAACCTGAGTCCTAAATTGTATTATATGAAACATACAATAGGTATACGCGTACCTACCTGGTATAGAAATGCAAAGTAATAAAGTAACAAAGACAATTTTTCCGAATTGTGATCGTCCCTGTTAATATAACTTTTTACTATAGATAATATTTATGATATAGTCTTAATCATTACTACAACATAAATTTATAGTTAAGCTAAACTCAAAATAAAAATATTTTAATTACTCTTTTCATCCTGAATGATCTGCGATACCTAATTTATGAACACGTATACAAGTATTTTAAAGTTTGATCACTTTTTCAATCGTGTATCAACTATCAAGTATTCAAACAGTTCTCTAAATCTTAAAGTTTTAGGGGGCTGCATGGATCTACCGCGGTAGAGGAGTAGATATACAATGTGGGTGGGTGGGTGCAGTGCATACTACGAGGTCTTATAGTGCGAGATACCCTGCATATCATGTATACAAGTTATATATATAGGCAGTAATGAAGTTTATTATATGATACCTCAGGACGGTTATATCAGTACCATTGTGAGTAACGAAACGAAAGTCTTTTATAGCCATTATACTCATTATATATAAGCGTAATTTATATAATACACATTACAGTTGGTTTATCCATAGTATATTGCTCTATTTTAGTTCGACGAAGACCCCTCGCTTACCCTCAGATTTAATACGTGATGTGCAATATCAATAAAAGCCTGCATTACAGATAATGTTCATGACAATGATTTGGGTGAAAGTTTCGTCATACTTAATGATATTTTAATGTTCACAGTCCACACACGTCATAATATTACGCATCTCAATATTTTCGATTTCTTTGAAAACTGTTTTGTATTATATAGTTATACATTATTATGCCTACGCCCTATACGTAATATACAGAATATTATACTTAGAGCGTAAAAAGTATATTAGAGTATAGTGTAATAAAAACTTGTCTTAAATATATATTATACCTATAAGTACATTATTATTATTGTGGTTCTTATAAAAACACAATATGCCAGTGCCTGCAGTATTGTTTTAGAACAAGCGAGATGGATTTATTTTGAAAACAAAAAAAAAAACAACACTTTGTGTACCTATCCAAATAATTGCACTGCATTATATTTTCAATGACAATTGACAATAATAGAGCAGCAAATAACGACTTTCGAAAAACGCGTATTATAAAGATTAAAACGATGTCGAATCTTTCAATATTATCGATTTACTTTCGGTGTTACGCATATATAGGTAGAACATTATCTATCTACTCGATTCGAGTGGTTTAATGCATATTAGATTTTAACCCAATTGCAATAATATTAATATGATAAAATATTCAAAACAGACCGAGAAAAAGGTTTTTTTTTTTGGGGGGGGGGGGGAATTCTGCAATCATTCTAACGCCGTTGCGTCGATATAATACAATATAATAATATACCTTCGCCTTTCGGCTCTTGTTTGTACAGATCCATTCTAGAGGGCTGAAGTTCGGTATCTACGAAGACTACGGTAACTTCACGTGTGCTGGCTACCCTGGAATCTTAGGATCTCTCGAGGTGGACGCATTCACGTTCGCCGAATGGAACGTGGATTTCGTCAAACTGGATGGATGTTACTCACTGCCAAAAGACATGGATCAAGGTACATAACATAATGATGATGAATTATATGAAAATAGTTATTATTATTGTTATTGTAATGAATAAAAGTGCAATCGAATTGGGTTATATATATATATATACATCTCAAGGGTCAACAGTTAATATTTTTGAAAGGCCACACTAGTGAATCTGTAATTAATTATTGGCGGGCCATCAAAGTTGCTGAAAGCAATAAAAACAAATGTACGAAAATGAGAAATGCACAACATTAGAACGAATAATACGCGGACAGCCATTTATATATATCATCTTACGACGTGGTGTATTTTTGGGGGATATCCACTGGATATATCTAAGGAATTGTGCTGTGTTTTTTGTTTGTATTTATAATTTTATCTAGTTTAAAAGAAAATGTCAAATTAACGTTAGGCAAAAATATAAAATAAATGTAAGAAGTTAATGTGGGACGTTGAGGGCCGAGGTGAATCTCTCCGTGTCAAGAGTTGTATTGAAGTATGTTGTGCCCGCTTAGCCGAGCTTCAGATACGACATTGACATACAACTGGGGATGTCAATTACTTTGTTTTTTTACATTTATTTTATATTTTCGTCCTTTCCAGGTTACAGCGAATTCGGCTACCACCTGAACAAAACTGGCAGGGCTATGGTGTACTCGTGCAGTTGGCCGGTTTATCAGACCTACGCTGGATTACAAGTGAGTAGCAGGCATATGCTATTATATTATATAATTAAGTATACATAAGTGAAGGGAAGGGAGGTGCATTTATAGTCAGAAATTGAGCGAAAATATTTTAGTTTTTATTCACGGGTCACACTCCGATTGGAAAATAATTGTTATAAAGATTTTTATAATTCCTAGTCCTATTCTCTAAGCTTTTGATTTTTTGTGAAATGCCAGACCAAAATTGAGTTTTTCCAAAATAAATCAGTGTGTTTACCAAACTGTATTTACAGACAACACCTGTTGTTGTACATAGATATATTTAAACAAATATATTATTGTTTTACATATTAATATGTGTTTATATAGCCCCACGCATTGTCTGTATTCACGGAGGGGCGTGCGTGAAGAGTTGTCGATACGCGGTAGTACGCGACGACCGTACCGAGATCGAAAGTGTTATAATATTTTTAAAGAGTTATTATGATATCGTTATAATTACAATTGTTTTATTCTAATATTATTATGACGAGTTACTACGGACGGACGGATCGCATATTACTATTATTTATCATCATACGACGACGGCAGTTGACAGGGGGAGACGACTGTTTCGTGTGACTGGCGGCTGTTCATTACGATAATATACGCCAACTATCGCGGGACCCGTCTGCGTGTCATATAATAGTCCGTAATCACACTATAGCTGTTTTTACTTGTTCTTTCCGGCAACACACACATAATATATTATGATAATATTAATATTATATTTGTCGTATCCCTCCGGGTGTCCGCGCACTCGGCAGGTGGTTGGGGGGGGGGGGCAACGGTCGATATACGAATAACGACCACCGCCCGGCCTCCGAGCGGTTAATACTCGACACTCGTCCATATATTATATAGAAAGTGCATTCGAGACATTTCGTCGACGTGTTATATATACATTTATTTATCTTACAGGTATATATAATATTTATACGCATATAGTTGGGTAACCGTGAAAACTGTCTGAAATCGCGGTACAAGGCCCCCGGACGACCAGAGTTGTCTATTCAAAACGCACAAAAATCATTATTACGATTATCATTACATATTATAACGTGCAGTCTGTTTGTTGTTGTGTACAAGAAAACATATAATAATATAGTGTCAGGCGTGGTGTGTTTATGTAATTTAGTTTGGGCTGCCACCCATCGCATGTCCGATTCCGCGTTATTACCAATATATATATATATATATGGCTGCACATACAGTCTACACCCTTAAATTATTACCTATAATATATTATTTACGCAGACAATTTCGTGCATGATATGTGACGTCGAAGCAAAGCTGAATCAAACTAGACCGTATAATATTATATCGATATATGCACTCGTTCTTCTGCAAAACCAAACATAATAATATAACATCAGCGTGTTTGTTCATATTGTTCCGGTCGCAGTTCTGTGTTCGGGTAAACTCTGAGGAAAATAATAGAAAACAGTCATATCGAACCGAGTTTCTGTAAAAATAATTATTTTTTTCCTCTATTGAAATTTTAACATCATAATTATTATATAAAAAATATAATTTAGGCATTCATAAATGTCACCTATAATTTTTTTTTCATGGGTGAAATACCGCACAATGTGATTATTTTCAAACTGAAAAGATGTAAGACATTTCATACCTGGCATTCCACAATAAATCATAAAAAATTATTTTCGGGCCCGACTGCCGAGACGATATGTATACCCACCTACCATACCACGTTGTATGCTGTATAATAATACATGCGATCGAACATTCATAGGTAGTATTTAGACATTTTTATCATGTCGTGAATCGTGATCAAATATCGCGATCGTTCGAGTTGTTCGCAAACCGCAGACAGGCATTGTGTATTTAAATTTACAGTTTCTATTTTGTTTATGTCGAGATGCGTGTAATAACTGCAGCTACATGTTTTAACTTTTGACGCTTGTATAACGTTAAAAAAATGAAGATTAAAACAATTATCCATACCGATTACCAAGTACAAAGTCGTAACAATTGTGCGCTGAAATAATGATTTGTTAATTATGGTACACTCAAATGTCCGACACCCACATGTTGCACAATCCCACACAAAGCAGCAAACATTTTTTTTTTACGACAAATCGTAAAACCTTAAACCACGGGCGTCTTATCATTACTGTCGAATATTTATACGATAATTGTATGAACTTTTACTCGTGTTTACTCAAGACGAACTCGTTTTCGTCACAAGTCCTTCTTTCGTACATTTTTAGTACCTAGGTATATTAATTTTACAGTTTCCGACAATCTCATATTATTTTATTTCTATAATAATCGTTGGTAATAATAGTTATTGCCAGTGAGTAATGACTAATATATCTTATATTACCTATTACATTATAGTTTGTAGTAAATCCGTTGTGTTTCGTGTCAACTCGAATCATTTTCCGGTGCGTTTTCCGCCCTCTATATACACATGAGAGGTATTCACAAAAAGTTTAAAGTCTTCCGTAGATGGCGCTACGGTTTTCGAAAACCTCAACGACGATATACAGGGCTGAAATTAAAAGAAGGGTTGATTGGGACAGATCCCTTGGAGCTCTTTTCTTACTTCTTCTTATACAATTTATAAATTTTCATTAGGAATAGTAACACCACAATGGTCATTTTTAATAACTGATATTACTATAGCTAATAATAAACGCATCATTCATCATTTATTTATAGCTATCATATTACTAATTTATAATCGAGGTTAGTGTATGATTTTTTATAACTGCGCTCTAGATTTCTAGTTGAATAGAAGGAGTAAAAAAATGCTCCTCATTCCAGAACAAATATGCTAATAATGTTCCATGTATAACAGCTATAGAATAATAATTATCGTATTGACAACAACGTATTCAAATAAACGTCATTATTATTTGTTTATCGCGTGTTTAGCCCAACTATTCCGCTATTACATCGAGGTGTAACCTATGGAGAAACTTCGACGACATTCAAGACTCGTGGGCTAGTGTGGAGAGCATCATCGACTACTACGGCGACAACCAAGACGTCATTGCTGCCAATGCAGCCCCCGGGCATTGGAACGATCCGGACATGGTACTGTTTCATTTTAATTTTTAACGAATGTATGCATATTTTGCATAGATTAAAATGTCCGAATATTATACAGGGTATTTTACTAGAGACGAACTTACGCAGTTTAACGTATTATAGGATTTAACTGACAGATGGGTTACAGTCTTATACAGACATAGGCATTTCGGAAAGTTTCTAAAAGTGTATATAAAATCAATTTTAATTTTGAAATTTGTTCCTTTTCTAACAATTTAAATAGTAAATTTACGGAAAAGAATAGAACTGGACTGATGTATAGTCGATTGAAAATAATTTGTCAAACTGAAGGTTGATTGAAGTTAGAGCTATAGGGGCTTTAGTCTCCTGAGATCGTCCCTAAAAGTAGTTTCTCGCCGTGTTTGCCCTCGTATCGTTTAATGTTTATGCATATACAAAGTGTGTATTATAAAAAAAATTATAAAAAATAGAGCAAACTAAAATGTCCTTCATCGTATTTTCGCAGCTGATCATCGGAAACTTTGGTTTGAGTTACGAACAGAGCAAGGTGCAGATGGCCATATGGGCCATACTCGCCGCCCCGTTGCTCATGTCGACCGATTTGAGGACCATCAGACCCGAGTACAAAGCGATTTTACAAAACAAAAAAATCATAGCCATCGATCAAGATAAATTGGGAATCCAAGGCCGCAGGATTTACAAGGTCAGTACACACATTTTTTTCCGAATCTCGTGTCTACGCAATTGGTTTATTTAATAATATTCTATAAAGCCAGAGATTTAGTTCAAAAGGGAAAACAACGTTTTATGCTTTTGTAAAAATTACAACTACTACGTATGATACTTATTATATATTATTTGCTTTAAACCCATCAGAGATTGCGCAATGTATATTGTACACCTATAATTATAATATTATTTATAACGTCCGCGTACTTCATATGTGGCGCAATATATTTACAATGTAAATAATATATATATACATATGGTTATGCATGAGTTTTACATTGTAAAAATGGTTTTTCTCACGGAATCGTATGTTTTGACCACGAGGTGAAAGCCTATAAAAATATTCTAAATTTCACTTCCCTAAAATGAAATAAACAATACAATTATACTCACCAATACGACATAATGTATTTTATCTGCTTTGAATTTTCAAAATACCAAAGTACACTAAATTTCCTCTATTATTTATCAAAAATAAATGTATATATTTGCGTTAAGAAGTTGTTGATAAAGTAATCATTTTATTTATAATGTATTAATATTTTTAAATGTATAAGTACAGTAAAATTACTGAAGTTCGGTGTACATAAATAATAAAACATTTGCTTGTGCAATTTTAATGACACAAAACAAGATGTATACTTAATGAAGTTGAAAAAAGAAAAAAAAACTTTTTCTAAATGTAAAGACAAAATAACTTTTTCTAAATGTAGGAAAAAAATTGACATTTTTACCGTGCTGTTAAATATTCATTAGTAGACATTATATTGTATTTGTTTTAAATTTAATTTTGAAAATAAAATGACAGCGAAAAAACATTTTTGCACAAATACAACGGTACTCAAAAATATAGTATAATATAAATATACTATAAGTACGGCATACAATTTAATTATTTCATCAACTAAAACGTTTCAATTAATTAACTGATGAAACGTTTTTACAGCGCGATAAACAGACACTGAGCGTATTATAATATGAAGTAATTTTAAATTTGGTCAGAAAATTACACTTACGAAAATTGATTACTATAATTGTTGTCTATTGCTATACTACATATAATATCTACTTCATAATATTTTATATTATATAGGCACAGTACACCTGGCACACATTAATGATTTCGATGAAAGTGAATAATCATATTATTATCCAACGACTTTAGTGCCTGTATACGTAATAAAGCGTAAAAAAACCAAATGTTCGATCAATTATAATGTATTGGTACAATGGATATCGTATTGCGCGCGATCGAATAAATTGAACGATGTGTTAGTCCACCGATATTGTTTCAATAGTACTTTTATTGACAGATCAATTATACGTAATAAAATACAGTTGTAGTACAATACACTGATGGGGGTTGTGGGGGGGAGTCGGTACGTCCGTATGGGGTTAAATCAACTCTTACACAAAATACAATTATTTATACCAATAACAATGACGACGATTATAATTTCATTGCAGCACAAAGGCATCGAAATATGGGCTCGACCGGTAACCCCGATTTTCGAAAACTACTTCTCGTACGCACTCGCCTTCGTCAACCGCAGAACTGACGGTACGCCGTCTGACGTGGCCGTGGCGTTGCACGAAATGGGTCTGCTGTCACCCACAGGATACAGAATACAAGTAAAATGCACTTTTAAAATCATCTGAGCAGCCCTCTCATCTTTATCATTACTAATCATTATTATTATTATTATTGTTGTTTTTGTTATTTTTATACGTTATTTTTGTCGTCCGCAGGATTTGTACGAAGATGTCGACTACGGAGTACTGTCTCCACAAACAAAGATCAAGGTCAAAGTGAATCCCACCGGTAAGCTCGTTAAAACGATTGTGTCGTATTTTTTAAGACTCATTGTTTCATAAAAAAATATATATATATACCTACTATACGCCTATAGTGTTTGATAGGAAACAGGGCACCCGATTTAATGCCAATATTTTTAACCCATATATTATTATATATTATATCATATAGGTTTTTATACAGACTATAAAATCAAAAAAAAAAAAAAATACGAAACACAAAACGCATCGTGTATACAGAACACAGCCAAACATAGTTCAGGTTATATTGGTCAAATTTCGTTGAGTTTTTTTATAAGTAGGTACCATGACATGGCATAAATAAATACTATCAAAATATTACGCCGTTTCAGAAATGTCATTCGATTTTCAACTCAATAAAACGATCAATATGTTGGAGAAAAAAAACGACTTCTATATCTACCACTCGTCCATTTTCTAATCTAGTGACTAGTAGACAGTAGTATAATAACGTACTGTGTATACTAATGACTAAGTCGATATCGCAGCAATCTGCAAGTGTACAAAAGCACGTTAAAGCATAATATCGTTTTATGTAGCGATAATATACATCGAACGACTGTTAACAATTTTCAAATGAAAATAAAACAACATTTTCAAACAATTATTCGAAGCCATCAAACCGGGACCTAACACCCACGCGTATCGTATCAAAGATCGTCCCGAGGATATTGTAGTCGAACTTCTATTGTACAAACTACCAACAGCATAGTATACATATATATATATATATATATGATAAAACGTGATATTATCGTCGTCGTCGAGTAATCACGTAAAATTATTGTAACGCGTGATAGACTACGAGCGGTCTCTCTCACTATACATTATATATATATGCTTGGAAGTATCTCTTATGTTATCGACGGTATACCATCTAGGACCAATGCGGTCGCGGAAATCGCTGCTATTCTTTCCGATAAAAGTCGCACGTGCACCGTCGCAGTTATTATTGCGTATCCCCCCGGAACAGGTTAGGCGTATAGGTGCCTCCCATCATGATATACACCACGTCACCATCTATCCAAGCATCTGTCTTCTCCATCTCTGTCTATATCGATGACATTGTTTTCTGTTTTGGGGACGGTTCCAAAATGGATTCGGATAGTCATCGTCGTCGTTCGAAAAGAAAAAAAAGAATAATAATAAATATTTCTCTCTGTATATAGTTTCATCGCAGTCCGTCGAAAGTAGGAATATTCTACAGGAGAGTCATTTCAGTTTTTTTTCTAGGTGTGCAAACTTTTAGGCAGGCCAATATCGACATTTTACCAGGCCATTAAAAAAAATTTATTTTTATGTATAAATGTTGGTAACCTATGCAAACCTATGTAAATATTCTTTCCTTCCCTTTTGTAATTCTTTAAGCAATTAAAGCAACCAGATAAAGCCATTTCACTATTATTTGAAAAAAGGGCAAAGAAGTCAATAAACCTGATAAACTAAAAATATACAAAAACTAAAATAATATGTAGGTACATTTTATTTATATTACCTATATATGATATCATAAAGCATAAGTTAATTATGACGAGGCATTGGAGAATTAATGGCGAGCCAATTGTTCACATTTTTTAAGTTAGTGGTGCTGTTGCACACGCTGCTCCCCCCCCCCCTAATGACGCCCCTGATTCAATATAGTATAGGTACTCGTGTGAGGATTTGGTGTTGAGTCAACTGTACCGGGACGACGGCGGTGACTTAGAGCAAAGTACTTTATGATAATAATAAAATACAGTTTAGTCGCAGAAATGAATATCATCTTACCAAATGATCCATTTTTTGTCCTACGGGTTTTACGTACACCTATCTTTTTTTTGTTAATACCAATAAATAATCTTATATAATAAAGCGCTAAATACTCTCTCTCACAAAAAAACCAATATTTCATTTTGGGTTAGGATAAATTACTATACAATAATTGTTAATTTTTTATTTCATACACTGTCCGAGCATGATCTACGACTTATTCGAGCCCTTTGAACTCATACGGTCGTACTTTCTCCTCCCTTCCTTCCCGCCATAAAAATAAACCCGAACCACACGCATTTGAACGTCCCCGGCAATTAACAAGAAAGACTAAGTACGAGGTTTCGATTTTAGAATTTGAAATGTTTGCAAATACAATATTACAAAATAATAAAGACACCACTGACCACGCCATATGATAATATGTACACCATACCCATACGAATGTACTCACATCACATGACACGTATGCGTGCACTGCGGATTACTGATCAGTGATCAGTATTAATAATTCCGAGGTTTTTATTAATTATTATTTCTTTGATCGTTCACAGGTGTTGTCATATTGAAAGCGGACGTCCAACAGAACCCGATCAAACAAAACTTCTACAAACCTTACAACCCGTTCACGCAAGTCTATCCGCTGAGGACGGCCAACGATTTCGTGAAAAAATGAAGCCCGAATCATCCCGACGAGACACGCTGATTCAGCAATAATATCAAAAACAAAACAAAAAAATTAAAATTAAAAAACAAAAACTGTATCATCGCTGACGTAAGAATAAAACTACGAAATGGAACGGAGTACACAATTCATCGGGCAACTCGCAGTTTTCAAACCGCTGAAAATTGTCGCCGCTGTTGCGCACGTGTGTACATGTTAATATAATTTTATTGTAAAAACGAAAAAATAAAAAATTATATATATTTATGAAATTTTTTTTTATGCATCAGAAATCTAACTAAATGTTATGTCGAATAACTATTCTCGTTTTTGGTTATTTTTTAAAATACGCACACTATAAAATACATATGTATATATACCTATATACATACGTAATTAGGTAACCTTCGATTATCCGGCAGTACATTATTCGCGATAGCTATTGTGTTGTGTTTTCATTCTCGTCCCGTGAGCACTGAACGCGGTAATATCGGTATGCCTATACATGTATAATAATAAAGAGGCAGAAAAAACAAACTACTCGGCGTTTCCGTTTTGGTAAAACGATAAGAATCAATCCGTTTTTAACATGCTCGTTTTGTTATATTTTGACATTAATTTTTTTCACGTGCATATCATTATAGGCGTATAAATTTTATTCCATCACGTTCGGTTTACCTATTCCCCACCTGACCCTCCTAACACACATACCTATATCCAATACCTGGCCTTCTAGGTCGTCGTATTTTTTATGGTACGCATATCGTACTAAACACGCGATTTAGAAAAAATTGATTTCCATTTTATAGACACCTCCCATAATGTCAGATAAGTTTTTTCTCTAATAAATGATCTATACTGCGAAAGAACATCATAATATAATACTATGTAATTGAATTGAATTGTCAACATACATAGTTAATCGTATATTATAATATTTGTGTAAGACTGTAATATTTCAATTAGTCTGATACTTCTCGTGAAACGAAAATATTAAAATCTGCGAAAGCAAAATTCTACAATGCTGCGATGTGATATGAACGAGTGAAATACTATCGTTTACGTACCTAATTAAGCCAAAAAGTTTCGTACGTTTTGAAAGTTTTAAGTTACAGACACGACTACACGAGTGATCGATAGTAAATAATTGCATTGTGAATATACCTAATCTTTATTTTTGTAGAAAGATATCAGCAAAGATTGACTTGTAATTATTTGAAACTTATAATTGATAATATAACAACTACATAATATAGGCATTTACAATATGCAAAAGATACTAAATATCAATTTGTATTTCAATAACTGAGCCCATTTAACCTTAAATTAATTTAGGTTAGTACATAATGTTAAACATACTATGAGGAAGTGGTTATTTTAGGGAAAAGGAGGGTCTTCATTTGCTAGTTTTATTATTACGGTTGAGAGGTTTATTTACTGAATAATTAGTAGAGCAGTGTGGAATGAGAAATTGTGTGTTTTGACTTGCGGAACGTAGGGGTACTTTAAAGTAGATGATCGAGTGAATGGAAGGAGAATCGATTTTAGAAGTGATGAGGTCGTTGATAAAAGTGAAGTTACTGGAGTGACGACGGTAACATCGTGAGGTTAGATTAAGTATTTGATTTCAGTCATATAAGGACAGATGATTTGTAATTTATGCCTTGCAAAACATACGAACTTTCTTGAAAATCATTCGATTGTACATCTATACTGTGTGGGTCCCAAACAACCTAGACGTATTCAAGTATTGGTCTAACCATAGAACACTATTAAAGGACTTCAATGAGTTTGTCAGTTTGAATTCATTAGCTATAATCTCTTGTGGAGACGGCAAACCCAATTTATTTTTCATCAAATCAACCTTAAAAACGGACAAAAATATTAAGATACTTCTTTCTAAAAAAATGTAAAGTTGTTTGAATTGCTAAACAAATCTGGGTACTCGCATCGGCCTGAGCATTTATTTTGTGTCTTTTATATCTTTTAATATATTTTATATTAAAAATTGACAAATTTATAAAATGGAAAATAGTTATTCGTGTCGAGTATTTGCTAAAATTGAAAAAATTGCTGCCGACCGATGCGAAGTTAACTTGTTTACCAATTTAGTTATATTCACAAATTTTAATAAATCAAACGACTAGAAGTAGTCAGATTTTTGTCGGGCGTATAGCTATTTCACATTCATAAGTCGGTTTTGATCTAATGGCTAGACTAAATGCCATATGTATGCCGGTGGGTAATACGGTTTAAACGGATCTATCCGGTAGGGAGTATACACTCACTAATAATAATTTACTACGCTCACACCTACACGACTCGAACCTAACGCCTATAATATTGCCTATACTGAACCCCTTAAAAATTTCCCGTTTGCAATCCTCTTAACAAAACTTAGAGGCTTGTAAACTTTCCATGTGCTGCGATCAATATGAGAGCGAGGACAAAGGGTAGGAACGAAATACAAAATAAAGTTTCAAATTGAGGTTGGTTGTTTATAGAGTAGGAAAATGTAATAAGATTGCAACTTCTAATGTGGGATATATATTTACACTTGTCAATGTTAAATCATTCCCCATTTGAAAATTTCATCTAAACCATTCTGAAAAGATTTACAATAGTCGACGTAATTTTCATAAAGAGGTTCATATCATCTGGAAAACACAGAAGAAGGAATACAGTAGGAGAGAGCTTTTTATAAATACTGAAAAAAGGATCGATGAGAAGTGAACTCCTCGTGTCACGTGCCCGAGGAGACTATAAAAGAATCAGGTTTTGAGCCACAGAGCTTCACCCATTAAGCTATGTTGCTTAAATAAAATACGAACCACGATAATAAGGGTTCACCGAACTCCGAGGATTGCTGTATAGCGGATGATGTGTATAGACCTTGATGATTTAGTGAGGCAAATGCTTTAGCAAAGTCCGTATAGGTCATATCGACTTGCAAACCAACAACGGATGCATCGAGTCATATAATTTAGAACGAGACATTACATGTTTCCGTTGAAAGAGCCTAGACCGGAGGCCACGTTGTTCGCTGATGAGTAATGTATTATTCGCAGGAGCCCAAACGGCGTTGGATGTTCAGTACCAGTGGTTCGAAGGTTTTGGCCAAGTATTGTTATGGATCTGTGTTTTGTAATTCCTGTAGGATTTTCCTACTGAGAATACTAGAATAGGGGTAAGCGAACTAATTTTTAAGATGATCTCAGAAGTGATATTACAGGAATACATCGCTGTGCGTAAAGCTAGAGTTGTATAATGTATTTACCTGCTATATAGTATGAATAAATGAATACGGTTACCATTTTACTGCATTAAAATTTGTTAATTTATAATTTTAATAACAATCAACAATGTTATTTGGAAAATAAAATAATAAAACCACACGCAATCGTATTGATGTCGTTCGCCCGGGTTCTAAGGAGCTTTAGATAGGCAATTTTATAACGTAATATTATACGATTATTGCCGTTGATTAAATTTACAATATAGTATACATTTTAATCAATGTTATTACTTATAAATACACAGGTACTGGTGGTGGCCGACAGCCCAATGAGCAATGAGCATGATAAGTTGCCTATGCAAACTTCCTAGAAAATCACAGACCAGAACCAGCTAAACGTATGCAGCACGATTAAAAAATAATGTAGATAATATATTTCGTTCGTATGGTTTATAACAGTTATAGTTTGTAATATCTCTGTACTCACTACTCGCAGAATAAATCAATTTACGGTACGGCGGTAACCATGCAAAATCACGACATCGCCGGAATGAATAACAATTCTAAAATTTCGCTCCGTTTTAATATAAGTCCGCCACTCTGGCCCAGCACTTATACGCGCCCGGTCATCCCTACACACGGAAACATTAATTTACGTTTCCGCTTTTTCGGGTGAAAAAATCGGACGAATACGAGATTTTATTTCTATAATATGCTCACACACAGGGCACATATATATCTCTTGAAGCGTGGCTACTATATCCCTATGCGTATATAATAATATATGTATATTAGAATTATTTGACTGTCGGACATCTCAAAAGAATTACAATATGAAAGTAAATTCACCCGTTTCATCATACGCAGTATATGCGTTGAAATCCTTCTGCATTGAAATTACCATGACTGCTGTGCAATTTACATTTGATATACTGCGTTCTGGGGGAAAAAAAAGTTCATTATTGTAACAAAAATAAATAATCCGGTGGGCAATCAGCAGTCTAGGGTTGAATACGTTTTTATTATTTTATTTTATGTTTTCTTACGCTTATTACGGTGTACTTTGTACACCTGTATTATATACAGTATTACGCAGTGAGAGTGAATAATAATCGTTATCGTTTATTCGAAATTGTGGATGCGAGTCTTGTAAACAACCCTACACTCGGTATAATGATGAGTATAAAAGATGAAAACGAAATATTTTTCTATCGAATCGAGTGGGTAAATAATATTATTATGATGCAGTATAGCAGTACATATGCCCGTATCGGCAAAGGCCGTAGGTGCAGGTCCATAAGGTCCATAATACACTTCTATTTTTAGAAACAGCCTTTTTTGTTTGTTTGATAATACATTAATGAATTACAATCTATACGATAGATACGATTAATGTAAAACAAATAATCAAATTACTTATTGTCATGAAACTACAAGTATAATAATGACGGGAATAATAATTAGAGAGAGAGCACTCTGCAGTAGTGCCTTCTAAAAATTAATATCTCATGCTTTATATTCTCATATACTTAGTTACATTAATAATATGATGTATTATTTTCTATTGAATATATTGATCAATGTATTCTACTGAAAGTAATGTTTGTGTCAAATAAGTAACATGTAGAGCTGGGTGTATTATATCTATGGCATCTATATCACAAAAAATATTAAATTCTTGGTTTGTTTGCTGGTAATTACACTTATTTATTTGTATAGATAATCATGATATATATGTATGATATATTATATAGGTACACTCAGAAAAGAAGGGGACGGATCTATCCGACGATATCTATGCAGGTGGTTATCTCGGGTTGTCAATCACGTCAGATAAACATAATTACATTGTATAGGAAGAGCCCGTCGTAGTCGGAGGACGTAACTTAAGCAGGCTGAAAGTACATCATCGGGAAAACAATATTTGGTAGTCTGATGAATGGCTATAAAAACAGTTTGATCTCTTGTCGATGATATGAATTGTCGTGACCTCGGAATTCCCCTTGCATCATCAATAGGGCGAGGATTTCAA